AATACAAGTAAATCTTCTCGAAAGTTAGCATCCATATTTTTAAACGTGTTAAAACGCAAACCCTTAAATATATCGACTTAAAAACAAAGTGACCGAGATAAAAACAAAGTGACTTATGCCACTTTCAAAATAAACGGCTCATATCTGGTTGTCATATTGATCCTATTATTGTCAAAAACTATAGCAAGTTCTAAAGAGGAAACTTTTAAGACTTAGAACAGTATCAAAGTTTGACACACAAATAACAATGAGTGATTATTTTTGACATGATTAATGGAAGTTGTTTTATACATGTTTTGTAAGATTTTCTATATTTAAATTCTTTAAAAAGGAATATAGTGAGATAAGTCCTGAAGTGGATATGCTGAGGTCTTATAACAGAGACTAAGTTTAGCGGTACTTATTATGATAAGAGCCGTGTTTATTTTGAAAGTGGCATAAGTCACTTTACCGTAATGAAAAGTGATGATTTCTTAATGTTTATACGAAATTATTTATACTGAGAAAAATATCTCAGTATCCTGAGACAACAAATACAAGTAAATCTTCTCGAAAGTTAGCATCCATATTTTTAAACGTGTTAAAACACAAACCCTTAAATATATCGATTTAAAAACAAAGTGACTTATGCCACTTTCAAAATAAACGGCTCATATATTTACAGTGACTCCCATTAATATTCGGACACTTTTTAAAACGTAATCACTTTTTTCAAACTAGAATAAACGATTCGAATTGTTTGTCCGCGATTCTTGCGGTCTTTAATTGTTTACAGCTCGTACCAGGGTCAACCGATTTCGGTGAAATTTTTAACATGCGTATAACTCAGCCAGCTCTGCAAAACACATTTTTTAAATTTTCGTTATAGGTTCAGATAGAAAAGTTACTAAAACGATAGTTCTTTATTTTCTTTTGTCATTCTAAGCAATAGAAAAAATTTAAAAAAGAATTCTAATTGTGGTCTAGTAGACTGGTCCCTCTATCATCTAAAAAAGAAAAATACAAATCGTTTAGTCCAGTTTTAAAATAGTTATTGCGTTTTGAAAAGTGTCCGAATATTAACGGAAGTCACGGCATTATAAATGAAGAACTAAAAGAATCTTAAGTATTGTGATCAATGCAAGAAGGAAAAAAATACATTCTTCTGTTTCAAGTGATCTACAAAAATATCATCTGTTCAAACATAAATTTGTAAGATTGAAATCTGATAACTATTTTATTTTTGCTTCGCTAACAGAAAAGTGTATAAACATCTTCGACTGGAAACAATGTTCACTGAAGTCATTAAATGGAGAAATAATATTTCAAATAATGTTCAGAAAAGTATGAATTCATCTTTGCTTTGTAAACAATTTTTACTGTAGCCATTGAAAGAAGGAACAACATGTTACATCTTAAATGTACTAGATAAAGATTCGAATATTATTTAATGAATAGAAAGCAGGGCTGCGAAAAAATAGATGTTTGAAATAGTAAATGCACTATACATATTCGTATCTCCTTATATCGTACAGAATAGCGAATAAACCTTTTTTGTAATAGTAATTACATATGTATATATTTGAAAATGCAATTTCCATATGTAACTACCATTTCAAAGAAAGTTTATTTGCCAAATTCTGTATTACTTGAGAAGATACGAACCATTTCAAAAATCTATTTCTCCCCAGCCCCGAGACAAAAAGCTATGAAAATTCATCTCTGACTGAAAACAATTTTCGCTGTATCCGTTAAAAAGGAATAAATAACATTTATATTTCAAACACGTACAGAATAAAAATATAACAAACCGAGCCTTACAAAATTTACTTTTGGCTAACGGAATGGATTGAAACGTTTAACCTGGAGTAGCTAATGCAATTGCAAATGCAATTCAAAGGATCTCCAGGTACTCCGCGGTGATGCAGTTTCAAATTTATTTAAAACCGTTCGGAAAATGGCTGTCGTTCTCGGCCAAGAAATGTTCAGAAAATTCTATTTGCTTCTCCGTCATCGTTTCCAGGACCGGCACGAAGGAAATCGATCTGGAAGGTCTGTTCATGCAGCATCCGGTGACAAACACGTCGGAATTTCTGAAACTTCTTTTGCTCGAGTTCTACGAGAGATCATCAATGGAGGACGCCGAGATCCGACGGGTTTGGTGCTCGTTTATTCTATCGAAAAATGGTTTCGACGATTTCGAGAAACTCGGCGAGATTCTGATGGCGGAGCTGAGGAACTCGAGGATCTTGTTTGAAAAGAATTCCGGCCTGGAGTTTCCCCTCAACTTCGATCAGCTCAGCACCGTTGCAAACAATCTGTCGATCGCTCTGTATTTTCGGGCGATGATTTTTGACTGGCGTCCGCCGATGCGGACCGGAAACGCGGACATCATGCTTTTGGAAGATTATTCTTCTGCTGTTTGCTCTGGTGAGTTATCCGCGCTATTTTTCGACTCGTTTTTGATACGTTTACTTGTCAGGTGTGACCACAAATTTGTTTGACATCTGAGAAAATATGCTGTGACAAGGGTTTCCTTTGAATCAAGACTGAATTATTAATTTCAACATTTTGTATTCGGTGTGCACAAGTATAATATGTTGGTGTAGAGTAGTGTTTCCTTTGAATCAAGACTGAATTATTATTTTCAACATTTTGTATTCGGTGTGCACAAGTATGATATGTTGGTATAGAACGTTGCTGCAGAATTTTCATCATCTACTTTGTTGAATAGCGTTACACTTTTGTAACAGTATTGATAATAATCTATCAGCGATTGAATTTCTTAGGCAGAATGAAGTAATACTTCACAATTCTTGCAATTTTGCATATACTTCTACAATTTATATTTTACGTTCTATAGTGTATAGATATTGTTCTTATATTTCACATGTACTTGTTGAAGCAAATGTTTTTGTTTTGTTATCCCAAATTTATTTTTATATTGTAGCATTCTTAATAAAAGTCGTACAATATAGAATATAAAAAGGAATAATAAGTATAAAGTATAGCAAGAATGTAACCCAACAAAGTAAATTTGTAATTCTTTGTAATAGATTAGTAATTCTATGAAACAGCTACAGCTGTCCAAAAAATTTTAACGTTCATTATCAACGCAGACAAAACTAATTAAATTGTAGAATTGTATAATTACATAATTATATTAATATAATAAATCACATAATTACATAATTAAATACATAATTAATTATAATTGTTCTGTTCGTTTTTTCAGGAAAGTTGATCAGAAAGCTGAAAGACGAGCCCCTGATCGAAAACTTCGTGAAGCTAATCGAAGGGTCCACGAAAATGATTGAAATTATCCTCCGCAACGAGCATCTTTCGATCAACGACGCGGATTACATCGAATTACGAGATGCTTTAAAATGGCTGCGAAGATACCACGATCTAGGATCCATTGAATTGATCGACAGATCTCGAGGAACGTTCCTGGATCTCCGTGAGATCTCGTCCTCCCTAAAAGTCCATTACAAATGGTTGGTGAAGCTTTTCAACAAATTGTTCACGCTGTTGGACAAGAAACTGTGCGACGCGAAACTACGCACAGAGCTGGATGATTTTTCAACGACCTATTTGAACGTAACAATTAACGCGGACAAATTCCGGAAAATTCGGAAGAGGGTTAAGAAGCTGCTATCGATTCCTGCGCCGCACTTTTCGGAGGATTCGATGAGATTCCACGAGAAATTGAGGTCAATTTCAAGGAAGATTGAAGTAACGGACGAAGACTCGATCGAAGTTTCGAAGACAAGATTGAAAATTGCATCCTTGGCGGTCCCGGAAAATTTCACGGCGCGAAGGAAATTAATTGGCATTTGCTCGGAGAATTTCAGAAATGGTCGGAGGACGGAGGACTCGACGGAATTGGATAATCTTATCGCGGGAATCGTGACGCTGAAAGAAATGGACAACAAACGGATTCGTAGCGACGAGAATCTGTCGGAAATCGAGTTATGGCCGATCTACGAATTTTTCTTTCTGCTTTTCGCGTACCATTTCCAACGGAAGATCTCCGAGCAATTTTCTATCAACTTCGATCAGGAAATTAGAGGAGAATCGACCGAGAACTTGTCCGTAGATAATCCCGGAAATTCTTGTAGAATTATCGGTGGAAAATTCGAAAAGATTTACGACGATTGCAAGCTCGAGAAGTTCAGCGAAATTCCGACCATTCCTGCGCGCCTAATTGGCTTAATAAGATGCTTAAATTCGGACGAGATCGCGGAGAAACAAAGAATTCAATTGTTCTTCGAGTTATTGTTGATGATCGAGGACTTTTCTGGCAGATCTTTCGCTGTGAGAAACTACAACGTTCTTTTACACTGGTTTGACCAGAGGGAAGAGGAGAATCAAGATGGCGACCGTGCTTCTGAGGTATTTCCATATTCTTTTTTTTGCAGCATGTATCAATTAAACGATAATTTGAGTTTTAATATTGAGAATAGCTATTACGAGATTCGTTTTGGTCGCAATTGTATTAAATAAATTACTGCGAAGCTGTTTAAAGGAACTGAACTAATTAGAACGATCATTGTATCATTTTCAGACAATCTTGATCAGCAAGTCGAACCTCTGCACGCTGATTTTCAAACTGTTCCTGACGAAGTCTGGAAACCAGATGTACGATATCAACCTTGGAAATCATAAGAACAAGAAGAAACAATTAAAAACGATCCAAACAATGCTCTGGAGGAATTCCTTAGTTTTAAATACATCAGAATTCAATTTCTCTATGAATGACTCTGTTCTCCTTCGGTTCTGTGCTAGTTACTACATATCTGCAATCAATAGTAGCCTAAACAACTTCAAACTAACACTGAAACAAGAGGAAGAAAAAGATTTGCAGGACTGTTTTATGAAACCACTGAGAATATTGCAAGAAATCAGGAAAAGGCTCGAAATTCAAGTAAACGGCACAGAAAGAGGAAAAGGCTGGCTGATTCTTGGCTACCTCCAAATCTTCCTCTTCCACGACTTAGGATCCATAGATCCGGTACAAAAGATTGCCCTAAAATCAAAGTACATTCGCGAGAACATGTCGGAATTGGAACATTTGATGCTAATCGAACAACTCCAGAGGACCATCCTTGCAACTTCCGCTCCCCTTGATCGAATAAGGTCAAGGATCGATCATCTGAAGAGATCGTCAACGGAGGTGAAGAATTTCGAGAATGTCCAGGCTGTCAGACCGTCCTCGAGTTACCAAAATCTGAGAGAAGAGATCGAGAACTTCTCGAGGAACATCGGCTCATTTCAAACGGTCTTTCGGCAGCTAGATCGTTTGACCGACGTTGTTGGAAGAGCTGGACGAAGGAGTTTGGTAAATCTGGATCGCGAGCAGCTGCAGGAAGCAATGATCTGGATGAAATCGCTGGAGAGATTTGCAGAAAAAATGGAGAAGAATTTCCTGGTGGGATTCCCTGATCTGGTCACACCTATGATCTGCGCCGTCTTAAACCTGCACCATGGTGTCTCAATTTTGATTCAACAGATCTCCAACTTGCAATATCAATGCCTGGACTTGAACATTTCTTTCAAGCTACTGCGTTTCCCTGTCCCATGCCTTTATCAGAAGAATTATCTGGATCTAGTCAGACTGTGTGCTTCCGAGAAGATAATCTTGATCCGTGCGAAACAATCTGGATCAAAAAATATTGAGAAAGACAGATTAACAATATTGATGATGGCCCTGCACGAATTAGAAAATATGTCTACGTTTGTTGGAACAAGTTCTCGATTAATTTCGCAGGAGCTGAAGAAAATCTTGGAGAAGATTCGAATTCTATGGCGGGAACAAGAGAAGCAGAGAGAGGAGGAGGCGAAGGAGAAGGAGAGTTTGTTCAGAATGAAGTCTGAGAAGGAGGAGGACGAGCTGGACTACAGGAAAATGTTTCCTGGCTACCAACAAGATTACTTGGAGCTGGTAGACATCTTCCCCGGCTTCCAACAGGAGTTTCCAGAGCTCCAGAAACTCTCAAGCAACGACCCCAATCAAAAGGACCACTTCCTTGAACTCATATCTTCGAAAGACGCAAGGGAGATTCAGACTGTCCACTGGAACATTCTAAGAAACCTAACTTACAGACCGTCAAATATTTCTGAGAAATTAACGAATAAATATAGAAGGTCTAAAAACCAGTTAGATCACCCAGGAAAGACTCAAGAACCCAATTTTGTGGAGCCTCTGGCTCACAGATTCGAGATGTTTGGATCCTCCATTGAAACATGGCCGAACGATTTGTCTTCAAAATTAATCTGCAGCTTGAATGTACTAGTCTCGCGGAAATGTAGCTTCGGTAGCAACAGCAGTCATGATTACGACTTTTATAGGGATCCAAACATCATTGAAGTTGAAGAGTGTCAGCCATACTTTGAGAAACTCACTGAGAAGATCGAGGCCTTCCTGATGGAGTGGTCAGAGAACCCTATATTGAATTCCATCAAGGTGATAATTGAGAGACTACTCAGTTTTCCAATTAATTCATCATTGCTGAGGTTCTTGGTTGGCATTGAGTTGTTGCTGACAAAGATCCAGCAGTGGGAGGAGAATGCTCGCCACGATGTCAGTCTGGCAGAGTTCATGGACTTCTTTGGCAAGAAGATCCTTCACTGGAGGAAGCTAGAGCTATCCAGGTGGAAGGACTCGTTAGAGATCCTTGAGGACAACTTGAAATCTGAAGCCTCCAGGTGGTGGTTCTTCTTGTTCAACTTGGTGGAACAATATCTTGCAGAATCGTCCGAGACCCGGGAAAGTGACACGAACAAAGAGGCAGAAAGCAAGGTCACCGCTCCTTCGAAGCAGAAAATATCAGAAAACCTGGAACGTTTCCTGACGGAGTCATCTTTGATCCAGTTTGAGTCGAGACTCCAACTGATCTACCTTTTCTATCAACATATTTCTACATTCATTGAGGGAAAAAACGAGAAGGAGTTATCTGCCATTTTCTGGAACGTTTATCATTATTATAGTTGTTTCTTGGACGATGTTACTAATAAAATCAAAAGCCTGAAGGAGCCAATCGCTAAGAAGCTGAAGGATACCGTCAAGATCACCAGGTGGAATGACATCAGTTATTGGTCGGTGAAGAACACCGCCGAGAAAGCACGCAGATCTCTGCATAAGTTCGTGAAGGAGTTCCAGAAGGGCTTGTTGGAGAACGTTGCTGCTCACTTGGCTTTGAAAACGAAAGCTGAGACCTTGAGCATAGGTAACAGGAGAGAGTTGAGTCCTACTGATTTCTTGATCCAGCTTGAGACTGGAAAATTGAGCAAAATGGAGAAAGTAGCTCGCAAGGCTAGCCAATTCTGCCAGGATATTGTTGTGAAGAGCAATTATTCGCAAATTAGAAATGACATTGAATCTTTCATAGAAGACTCGCTCGAAGAGAGTAAGCGACTGAAGAATTTAGAGGTGGACAAGACTTTGACGAAGAGCAAGCAACAGTCACAATTGAAGAGCATGCTTCAACAGAAGAAAATGGCACTGGCGAATCATTTTAAGTCTCTAAGTCAGCTTGGACTTTCTTATCGAATTGGTGTTCTGACCTGGAAGAACAGGAAACATGAAGTCATAAATCATGGTTCGATGCCCTTGGATCTGCTAGAGATCCAAAGGTACGAGTTTAGTCAAGATTTCAATGAGAACGTGAAGAAAGGATTGCTGGAACAGTGGTCTGACTGTGATAAATATTACTACGAATCTCTGATCAAATTGAACTTCCTCGACGCCATTTTGAACTCTGGAAGAAGCGATATTGGGCCGCAGAATGCCGAACGTTGTCGAGGATTTTCCGCTCATCTGATTCTACTAGCGCATAAGCAAAAAGAAATTATTTTCAAGCTGCTTAAACATTTCCTTCCTCTCAGAATCCAACTGCTCAATCTTGCTCTCATAAAGGATGACTTAAAGGAAGAGGCTTATGGCGGAGAAACAAGACAAAGCGACCTGCAGACCCTGATGTTGAACTTGCAGGACTTGCTGCCGATACTGGAACTGACCATAAAACAAGTTATTCTCTTCTTGGAAAGTTCGCCACCGGGCTCGCTTGAAGACGAAAAACTTCTTGATTTAAATAGAACGGTCATTCCTATTTTAAAAGAGCATAGTGTCGTTGAAGAGTCAGCAAGGACCATGAAAGATTCCTTAAAATTGGTGAAGGACATAGCAGATAAACTGAACAAATGGATGGCAGTTTCTAAGAGAGTCAAAATATCAGGACACATTTTCTTCTTCCACCAACGACACATTGACTTCCTTCGGACAAGTTACCTGAATATCAGCGACATCAAAGAAAAGCTGCTTGATTTCAATGCAATCTTTACATCGGATCATCCTATCACCGAGAATCTTCAGTTCATGGTGAATAAGATCAGCATGAACATTGCCCATTTTGAGTCAACATTGAGCAAGCCATTGGCAGAGGAGTCCGAAAACTCTGAAGAATTGGAGGAGTACAAGAAACATTTCGACGTGCTGATCACACAAGTTCTTCTTGCGATTCAAAAGAAGTTTCAGAAGTCGAATGAGGCGACAGAGAAATCTAAGAAAGAGTCTGAAGAGAGTTTTGAGGAAAATTATATGACAGGAGGACTGATAGATTCTTTGAGGACAGCTATTCCAGATTTAAAATTGAGAACAGTATCAAAAGTCCTTGCAGAACTATTGGAAATTATTTACCAGTTGGATGTCAAGTCTGCCGATCGTTGCATAAAGTGAGTTTTCTTTTGCTGCTCTGTTGACATTAAAATGCATTATCTAAAATATTTCCTTTCTTTTCCAGGTTGCTTTTAGAGCACTTGCCCCTTCTCAAGCAATACACCCTTCTTCTTCAGTATTATCTGTACGAGCAAGTAGCTTCGTTCCGTCTAACATGCAAGTTCCTCTATCTTCAGCTGAACGTCTTCCTCGACTTAGCTACAAACGGTTTTTGTCAACCGCAGGACGCAAATGCCCCTGAGGACGACCAAGATGGCGGTCCAAGCGAGGGAGGAATGGGTTTAGCCGAGGGCGAAGGGAAGAAGGATGTCTCGGATAGAATTGAATCCGAGGATCAATTGGAAGACACGAAGGGTCCAAATGACCAGAAAAAGGACGATGAGAAGAAGGACACAGAGGAAGAAGATAAGGGTATTGAGATGTTGGAGAATTTTGAGAGCCATTTGCAAGACGTGGAACAAGATGAAGAAGACAAGGACAAGGAGGAAGACGAGGACCTGGACAAAGAAATGGGTGAAACTGACGAGACTGCCGAGAAGCTAGACGAAGAGATGTGGAAAGACGACGAAGAGGAAGAAGCAAGTGAGGGAGAACAAGGTGAAGAAGACAAGAAAGACAAGAAGGGAAATGGGGAGGAGACCGGCCAAGAAGAAATGGGCGCAAAAGACGGTAACGAGGAGAAAGATGAAAACGAAGATAAGGAAACGGAAGGGGAAGATCGGAGGAAAGAAGAAGAGAAGAAGGAGATCAATGAGTTCAACGAACCTGAGGTCGACGATGATCAGATAGATCCTTATCATGGGAAACAACAGCCAGAAATCGAGCCGGAAGAGTTTGATCTCCCAGAGGACATGGCTTTGGACGATGAAATGAAAGAAGACAAGGAAACCGATGAGCAAGAAGAGAATCCATTCGACATCGACCAGATGAAGGAGTCCAAGATCCCAGAAGAACCTGAAGAATCTAAAGAAGAGGAGGGCAAAGAAGATGCAGATGAACCCATGAATGATAATAACTCGGATGATACTGACGTAGAAGAAGATCCGCATGCAGACGGTGACAAAAAGAAAGATACAAAGGAAGCTAATACCGAAGAGGACAAAGAAAATGATTCGGAGGAGCAGAAAATGGAGGAAGAGAAACCGCAGGAAGAGAAAGTGTCGCCCAGTTTGGATGCGAGCAGCAAGGAGATGGATGCCTCTGAGGAAGTCGAATCGAGGAAAGACGGCTCCAGAGATGCCGTGGAAAGCCAGTCGAACGAAGAGAACACGGAAACCGACCCCGCAGAAGTTAACGCAGATGATACAAAGGACAAAGGTAGGTTTAACGTAGCTAACGAGCGCTTTGTATTTCTTTCGAGTTACGTTTTCTCATGGAATTTTTTATCGAAGGGACGGGCCAGTCGCAGACGGAAAAACGGCAAGGTCACTCCGGGTTGAAGAAAGAAGAGAACGCCCCCACGTCCGGCGAAGAAAAGTCGTCCAAGCCGATTGAGAAACGAAGGAAACCGGGTCAAAGCGATGAAAACCGCAGTCTGCTCGACGACGAAGTTCAACCGTCTGCAAAGAAATTGAAGACTGGACTAATGCGCGAGGAGCGGGACGATCGTGAAGAAGAGGGGAACGATCCTGACAATGGAGGCGCAAGCGAGACTTATGAACACATCAAGAAGTCCGAGAAGTTCGATGACGTTGTCTTTGACGCTGCGACCGAGGAGCAAGTCAAGCAACAGGCTTCAAATATGGAAGGTAAGTCGACCGTACGAATAACATTATTACATTATTAACACAGCGATGAATTTTACACCACTTTGATTTTAGATAATGAAGAAAAGGTGGTTGAGGATGAAGACGTCGAGATGCACGAAGATCCAGAGCCAGAAGAACAGCAGGACGGAGTGGAGAAGGAGCATTCTTCTAAAATGCCTGAGAGCAAGGAGGAGAAATCAGGTCGAGGGAAGGGTGAAAGGTCCGACGACGTTGAAGATGTTGAAATGGTAGGCGAAGTTGAGGGCGAAGAAGTAGAGACAAGCCGTGTCTTGCGTGGCAGCGAGTCCACTTTCCATACAAAACTGTCGGAAGCGGAGCTCTACGATGTCTCGACAGAGGATATCGCAAGGAAGAGGTCTGAGATTGAAAATATGCTCGGTCAATGGAGCCAGCAGTCATCGTCCATTGAAGCGGCGAATGCTTGGAGCTCTATTAGCGCGTTGACAGAGTCAGCAGCCAGAGAACTCAGTGAGAAATTACGTCTGGTGTTAGAACCCACTCTAACGTCCAGGTTGAAAGGTGATTACAGAACTGGCAGACGAATAAACATGAGAAAAGTAATCCCTTATATCGCTAGTGAATTCCGCAAGGACAAGATATGGTTGAGGCGCACGAAACCGTCAAAGAGAGACTACCAGATCGTGCTAGCCATCGATGACTCGAGCAGCATGGCTGATAATCGCTCAAAGGAATTGGCTTTCGAGTCTCTGTCGTTAATTGGCAAGGCCATGACCTATTTAGAGGTAGGGCAGCTTGCTGTGATTAACTTTGGGGAACGTGTGAACATCCTTCACCCGTTCGGGGAAAATTTCACTGAGGAAAGTGGAGCAAGGTGTGTATTCAACTGATTGATCGCTAAGTGAATTTTTTTAATTATGGGAAATTCAATTTTCAGGTTGATCCAAGAAATGAAGTTCGAGCAGAAGAAAACGATGATCGGCCAGTTGTTAGAGTATGCAATAGACATGTTCGCAAGCCACGGCAGTGCCACGGATAATGCAAAATTAGTGACTATTTTATCCGATGGCAGAGGGATATTTTCAGAGGGAGTAGAAAAAGTGACGACAGCTGTGAGAAGAGCCAAATTACAAAATATTTTCTTAGTTTTCATAATCGTCGATAATCCTCTTAACAAGGTAAGACAGAAATATATTAGATCATTGGAAACAAATTATTCATTGTTCTGTTTCGCAGGATTCGATACTGGACATACGGATGCCAATTTTCGAAAAGGGGAAATTGCTGGGAATACGTTCGTACATGGACAGTTTTCCATTTCCGTTTTATATCGTTTTACGGGATTTAGACACTTTGCCGGTGGTTCTCAGTGATGCATTGCGTCAGTGGTTTGAACTTGTTGGCAGAATCGATACTTGAACACCGTTTTGTATGTAAACACATATTGCGCGACTGTCTTTTTTTGTATTTTTTATGTTTGTTACCTTTAATTATCCAATTATAATATTTGGTTGACAAGGTACATAATAAAATGCATTACATATTTTTTCATTTCTTCGCGGATCGTTCTAGAATAATTATAAATTACAGTACTGTATAATGAAAAATAATCATTTGATAAATTAAAATCACATTGATAAATTAAAAAGCTTATAGATTTAAAAATAATATTGACGAATAATTATTGTAACTTAATTAATTATAGAAAATTTTCAGACATCCGTGAAAACCGTTTGATCATTTTATGTATGCGAAAAGTTGCGAAAATTTTCTCGATGCCGGACTTACATCGTTATTGTTGAGTTCTACTACTTCTTTTCGAAGATGATCGACGCCCGACGTTATATCGACTTGTACTACTTACAAGATTATTTTAGGTTTGTAGCCTACGTGTGTACTAAAATATTTGATCTATCGGTAAACTTTACCAACAGTCGATTGCGGATCGATAATCACAGTGGCGCACGAAATAAATTCCTGAAATTTATTACTATCGTCATCTAGTAATAGATATTGGAGCCACAGACAAGTTATCACAGTAGACTGGACACCATATGCCGTGTCACGTGTTCTGAAATACCGATATCGCTGGAAAACAGAGGTGCAGACTTTGGATCCGTGGGTTTCTCTATTTCGATCTTGAAGGGCTCCAAACTCGAAAGCTCCCTTATCATTTCGCATCGTACTCAATGTTACTGATAGTTCACGAAAAATAGGCATGTTAGCAAGAAGCGAATATACTGTATATTACATTTCTACTACAAGTGCTGAATATTATTTGAATAATTTAAATGATGGAAATAGTATTTATGAAATATGTACTACAGAAATACAATGTAAACTGTAATTATTTTTATGGACAATCGAGCAATTATTTCTACTAATTACACAATTAGTGATGGTACACACGTAGCAATAGTTTTATACATTTTGTATTCTTTATAATCTATTTACTATTTAACAAAATTTATTTTTCACAGCCACTAGCTCGATGTAATTATCGATTTCGAATCTGTATGTAAAGTCATCCTACTTGTATACAAAAATGGACAATTTGGGAAGAGGAGGTACGATTATTCCCAAATTGTCAATTTTTGTTTCCAAGCTGAGTGTCAATTAGGAAGAATTTACTACAAATTAACTACAATAACTAAACTATACTCATGTTCTATAAATGGACTAGTATATTTAAATGTTCGGGCGGCATATACATATGTACGAAAATTGAAATTAAAGAATACATAAATCAAAGATTTCAAAATTTTTAACAGTTTAATATGCATAATTTAAAAATGTAATTTTTAAAACAAGTCGCCAAATAGCCACATAATTGTTTAATATAAGCATGTCGAATAAAAAATACTATAATAATGCTATGAAAATGCTATAAATAAAGCTTCTGTTATTATTATATTCGGTTATTACCTATACTTCATTTATGCTACAGTCCATAGTAAATTTCTAAATTATCTTGCCATCAGTTAGTATCCTTAACATGTCCGTCGGTAGCTCTGGCTAACAGTTTGAGCGTTTTGCCACTACATAGAACGGCGCTGTACGAACATCTGAACGGCACAGATAATTCTTGCCGAAATTTACATTGCTGTTTATACGAGTCACGGCAAGATTCATTCACGCTAAAGTAAAATGATGAGATTTCGAGGTTCCCCATTAAATTTTCCAACGTTCCGTATCTCAAATTGAAGCTAGACAAACGCACTTTAAGACAGACGAGTTGTAAATCTATTTTACGAACAAATGCTCCCGCAAACACACGTCCGAAGCACCTCCCTCAAATAGTTGCGTTTCTTGATTTCGCTCGTGAAAGATGGCGTTCGGTTGTCCCCAGTCGCACTAAAATATCTATTTCGGATTAAATAAAATAATATAATATAAAACTAATGTACGAAAATGTCCGAAAAAAATGTTCACCTGTAACATTCTCTTAACACATAAGCAAACCGAAACATTAAAAATCGAGCCAAGTGAAACGGATAAAATCAAAGCAAGAACGATATAAACCATAACAAAAAACACTACCATATATACAACGCGTGAAATACATAATAGTTTCCGAAACGATCGGCCACATTCGAATTCGTCAAAGTCGTTCGATTTTTTTCAGCAACTCTGCCTACAGTCTGTCGAAACTCGTGTACACCAGTCGTCAATTAGACCACGAAAATAAACCGGCAATATTTTTAGTCGGGTCTTAAAGCCACCTCGCGTGCATAGGCGTTTCAACGGCAGAAAAAATGCCGTTCCTCCCGCGTTGTGCGGTCGTTCGATCGCCGGATGTGAAATAGTTCGGTGTGAAATAAAATAAAGCCAGCCTAGGCTAGGAAACACGGGCCTCAGGAATAGACACGATCGGGGCACTCGTTCTCATTTCGTACNCAATTTTTGTTTCCAAGCTGAGTGTCAATTAGGAAGAATTTACTACAAATTAACTACAATAACTAAACTATACTCATGTTCTATAAATGGACTAGTATATTTAAATGTTCGGGCGGCATATACATATGTACGAAAATTGAAATTAAAGAATACATAAATCAAAGATTTCAAAATTTTTAACAGTTTAATATGCATAATTTAAAAATGTAATTTTTAAAACAAGTCGCCAAATAGCCACATAATTGTTTAATATAAGCATGTCGAATAAAAAATACTATAATAATGCTATGAAAATGCTATAAATAAAGCTTCTGTTATTATTATATTCGGTTATTACCTATACTTCATTTATGCTACAGTCCATAGTAAATTTCTAAATTATCTTGCCATCAGTTAGTATCCTTAACATGTCCGTCGGTAGCTCTGGCTAACAGTTTGAGCGTTTTGCCACTACATAGAACGGCGCTGTACGAACATCTGAACGGCACAGATAATTCTTGCCGAAATTTACATTGCTGTTTATACGAGTCACGGCAAGATTCATTCACGCTAAAGTAAAATGATGAGATTTCGAGGTTCCCCATTAAATTTTCCAACGTTCCGTATCTCAAATTGAAGCTAGACAAACGCACTTTAAGACAGACGAGTTGTAAATCTATTTTACGAACAAATGCTCCCGCAAACACACGTCCGAAGCACCTCCCTCAAATAGTTGCGTTTCTTGATTTCGCTCGTGAAAGATGGCGTTCGGTTGTCCCCAGTCGCACTAAAATATCTATTTCGGATTAAATAAAATAATATAATATAAAACTAATGTACGAAAATGTCCGAAAAAAATGTTCACCTGTAACATTCTCTTAACACATAAGCAAACCGAAACATTAAAAATCGAGCCAAGTGAAACGGATAAAATCAAAGCAAGAACGATATAAACCATAACAAAAAACACTACCATATATACAACGCGTGAAATACATAATAGTTTCCGAAACGATCGGCCACATTCGAATTCGTCAAAGTCGTTCGATTTTTTTCAGCAACTCTGCCTACAGTCTGTCGAAACTCGTGTACACCAGTCGTCAATTAGACCACGAAAATAAACCGGCAATATTTTTAGTCGGGTCTTAAAGCCACCTCGCGTGCATAGGCGTTTCAACGGCAGAAAAAATGCCGTTCCTCCCGCGTTGTGCGGTCGTTCGATCGCCGGATGTGAAATAGTTCGGTGTGAAATAAAATAAAGCCAGCCTAGGCTAGGAAACACGGGCCTCAGGAATAGACACGATCGGGGCACTCGTTCTCATTTCGTACATACTTGGCGTGAGAAGCAACTGTGCCTTTTGATATGGCGCCAGCCATAGTCGTAGGCACCCGGCAGCAGGCTTCACAGCTTCGGCGATTCCGTCGAACTTCCTACTTCGTTTATTTACAAAATTAAATCAGATAATAGCGTAATCAATTATATCAATTTTATGTGTTTGCCCATGAAACGAACGTCTAATGTTATCGATACTATTTTCAGTCGCTTATAAACAAAATCAATGCCTTGCAATATCGACAAAAATTAAAGGGCAGGTAGAATGAAAAGTTTAAGGATAATTTCCACTTGTTTGCAGTATTATTACTTGAAATGTTATTATTGTGAACACTGTTCTGTGAAATATTACTATTACTATTATTACTAAATATTATATGTATATAATAATATTATTATATATAAATATTATATATAGTAATATTATTGTATATAAATATTATATATAGTGATCTTATTATATATAAATATTATATATAGTAATCTTATTATATATAAATATTATATATAATAATATTATTACTAAATTAAAAATAATT